TCACAGGTAATGAATTCCAGATTTTAGGGCCTTTTATGTGCATTGAGTTTTTGCATAGCGCGAGATGGACACCAGGAACATCAAAGAGTGATCTATGTCTTGTGTTATGGTTATGCCAACTTCCTTGTTATGGGTTCGAATCCTGCTGACTGCGATCTTTCTCTATACATATGTGTATTTAAACATATACCTATGTATACATATGCACACATGCCTATTCACTTGAATAAATATGCAAAAGCATACGTCCATTCAAACACAAGAACACATACACGCACGGGCATATGAGCATATACACATGCACATACATATACATGCATATATGTGTACACATACATTTTTATATTTTTCATTCAAACTTTATGACCGTCCTTCATTATTCCTCTTGGGCACATCAAGGTGGAGGAGGCTGGGCTTACCAGATACCTTCATGGGATCTAATTCCTATCTGTACTACTTTATCTCTTCAAACTCATTTCTTAGTTTATTTCTTACAGTTTTTTTCATTCTACATTTTTTTTTTGCTTAATGGTAATTTAGGCGAGGAGTCGACTTAAACCAACTTCCGGAGGCCTATGTGAGAGGGAGGCCGCGTTAGTTTTATGTATCTTTGTTAATAGTGGTGTTGTGAGGGAGTGTTGTAGTGATGGAGTAAGTGGGAGTGTTGTAGTGATGGAGTAAGTGGGAGTGTTGTAGTGATGGAGTAAGTGGGAGTGTTGTAGTGATGGAGTAAATGGAAGTGTTGTAGTGATGGAGTAAGTGGGAGTGTTGTAGTGATGGAGTAAGTGGAAGTGTTGTAGTGATGGAGTAAGAGAGAGTGTTGTAGTGATGGAGTAAGTGGGAGTGTTGTAGTGATGGAGTAAGTGGGAGTGTTGTAGTGATGGAGTAAGTGGGAGTGTTGTAGTGATGGAGTAAGTGAGAGTGTTGTAGTGATGGAGTAAGTGGGAGTGTTGTAGTGATGGAGTAAGGAGAGTGTTGTAGTGATGGAGTAAGAGGAGTGTTGTAGTGATGGAGTAAGTGGGAGTGTTGTAGTGATGGAGTAAGAGAGAGTGTTGTAGTGATGGAGTAAGAGGGAGTGTTGTAGTGATGGAGTAAGTGGAGTGTTGTAGTGATGGAGTAAGAGGGAGTGTTGTAGTGATGGAGTAAGGTGTGTAGTGATGAGTAAGGGAGTGTTGTAGTGATGGAGTAAGAGGAGTGTTGTAGTGATGGAGTAAGAGGGAGTGTTGAGTGATGAGTAGAGGTGGAGTGGAGTAAGAGGGAGTGTTGTAGTGATGGAGTAAGAGGAGAGTGTTGTAGTGATGGAGTAAGAGGGAGTGTTGTAGTGATGGAGTAAGTGGGAGTGTTGTAGTGATGGAGTAAGAGAGAGTGTTGTAGTGATGGAGTAAGTGGGAGTGTTGTAGTGATGGAGTAAGAGGAGTGTTGTAGTGATGGAGTAAGAGGGAGTGTTGTAGTGATGGAGTAAGAGGAGTGTTGTAGTGATGGAGTAAGAGGGAGTGTTGTAGTGATGGAGTAAGTGGGAGTGTTGTAGTGATGGAGTAAGAGAGGAGTGTTGTAGTGATGGAGTAAGTGGGAGTGTTGTAGTGATGGAGTAAGAGGGAGTGTTGTAGTGATGGAGTAAGATGGAGTTTGTAGTGATGGAGTAAGAGGGAGTGTTGTAGTGATGGAGTAAGATGGGAGTGTTGTAGTGATGGAGTAAGTGGGTGTTGTAGTGATGGAGTAAGGGGAGTGTTGTATGTGATGGAGTAAGAGGGAGTGTTGTAGTGATGGAGTAAGTGGGAGTGTTAGTGATGGAGTAAGGATGTGTAGTAAGAGGGAGTGTGTAGTGATGGAGTAAGAGGAGTGTTGTAGTGATGGAGTAAGAGGGAGTGTTGTAGTGATGGAGTAAGGGAGTGTTGTAGTGATGGAGTAAGGGGAGTGTTGTAGTGATGGAGTAAGTGGGAGTGTTGTAGTGATGGAGTAAGTGGGAGTGTTGTAGTGATGGAGTAAGGGGAGTTTGTAGTGATGGAGTAAGGGAGTGTTGTAGTGATGGAGTAAGAGGGAGTGTTGTAGTGATGGAGTAAGGGGAGTGTTGTAGTGATGGAGTAAGGGGAGTGTTGTAGTGATGGAGTAAGAGGGAGTGTTTGTAGTGATGGAGGTAAGAGGGAGTGTTGTAGTGATGGAGTAAGGGGAGTGTTGTAGTGATGGAGTAAGTGGGAGTGTTGTAGTGATGGAGTAAGTGAGAGTGTTGTGTAGTGATGGAGAAGAGGAGTGTTGTAGTGATGGAGTAAGAGGATGTTGTAGTGATGGAGTAAGATGGGAGTATTGTAGTGATGGAGTAAGAGGGAGTTTGTAGTGATGGAGTAAGGTGGAGTGTTGTAGTGATGGTGTAAGAGGGAGTGTTGTACTGATGGAGTAAGTAGGGATGTTGTATGTGGAGTAAGTGGAGTGTTGTAGTGATGGAGGAGTGTGATCAAGTGTGGATGCAAAGGAAGTGTTGTATGTGGTGCAGATTAAGTAGGAAGTGTCATGTAGCTGATGGAGTAGGTAGGGAGTGTTAGGTAGTAAGGGTAGTGTTGTAGTGATGGAGTAAGTAGGAGTGTTGTAGTGATGGAGTAAGTGGGAGTGTTGTAGTGATGGAGTAAGTGGGAGTGTTGTAGTGATGGGTAGAGGGAGTGTTGTAGTGTGGAGTAAGTGGGAGTGTTGTAGTGATGAGTGAGTAAGAGAGTTGTAGTGATGGTAGAGTGAGTGTTGTAGTGATGGAGTAAGTGGAAGTGTTGAGTGATGGAGTAAGAGGGAGTGTTGTAGTGATGGAGTAAGGGGAGTGTTGTAGTGATGGAGTAAGAGGGAGTGTTGTAGTGATGGAGTAAGGGGAGTGTTGTAGTGATGGAGTAAGAGGGAGTGTTGTAGTGATGGAGTAAGGGGAGTGTTGTAGTGATGGAGTAAGAGGGAGTGTTGTAGTGATGAGTGATGTGTATGAGGAGGAGTGTTGTAGTGATGGAGTAGAGGGAGTGTTGTAGTGATGGAGTAAGAGGGAGTGTTGTAGTGATGGAGTAAGAGGGAGTGTTGTAGTGATGGAGTAAGAGGGAGTGTTGTAGTGATGGAGTAAGAGGGAGTGTTGTAGATGGAGTAAGGTGGTGTTGTAGTGATGGAGTAAGTGGGAGTGTTGTATGTGATGGAGTAAGTAGGGAGTGTTGTAGTGATGGAGTAAGTGGGAGTGTTGTTGTGATGGAGTAAGTGGGAGTGTTGTAGTGATGGAGTAAGAGGAGTGTTGTAGTGATGGAGTAATGAGGAGTGTTTGTATGATGGAGTAAGTGGGGAGTGTTGTAGTGATGGAGTAAGAGGGAGTGTTGTAGTGATGGAGTAAGAGGGAGTGTTGTAGTGATGGAGTAAGAGGGAGTGTTGTAGTGATGGAGTAAGGGGAGTGTTGTATGATGGAGTAAGGGGAGTGTTGTAGTGATGGAGTTAAGGATGGGAAGATGTTGTAGTGATGGAGTAAGAGGGAGTGTTGTAGTGATGGAGTAAGTGGGAGTGTTGTAGTGATGGAGTAAGTGGGAGTGTTGTAGTGATGGAGTAAGTGGGAGTGTTGTAGTGATGGAGTAAGTGTCGTAGTGTAGTGAAAGGGAATGTTATAGTGGAGTGTGAAGGAATGTTATAATTATGGAATGAGAGGGAATGTTATAATGATGGAGTGAGTAGGTGAGAATGTTTATAGTGATGGAGAAGGGAATGTTTATAGATGGAAATGAGAGGTATATGTATATGTGATGGAGTGAGAGGGAATGTTATAGTGGCGAGGGAACGTTATAAAGATGGAGTGAGAGGGAATGTTATAGTGATGGAGTGAGAGGGAATGTTATAGTGGAGTGAGAGGGAATGTTATAGTGGAATGAGAGGTAATGTTATAGTGATGGAGTGAGAGGGAATGTTAGTGGAGAGGGAATGTTATAGTGATGGAGTAAGAGGGAATGTTATAGTGATGGAGTGAGAGGGAATGCTATAGTGGAGTGAGAGGGAATGTTATAGTGGAATGAGAGGTAATGTTATAGTGATGGAGTGAGAGGGAATGTTATAGTGATGGGATGTGAGAGGGAATGTTATAGTGATGGAGTGTGAGAGGGAATATTATAGTGATGGAGTGGGGATGGGGAATGTTATAGTGATGGAGTAGAGGGAATGTTATAGTGATGGAGTGAGAGGGAATGTTATAGTGATGGAGTGAGAGGGAATGTTTAGTGATGGAGTGAGAGGGAATGTTATAGTGATGGAGTGAGAGGGAATGTTATAGTGATGGAGTGAGAGGGAATGTTATAGTGATGGAGTGAGAGGGAATGTTATAGTGAGTGAGAGGGAATGTTATAGTGATGGAGAGGGAATGTTATACTGATGGAGTGAGAGGGAATGTTATAATGGAGTGTGAGGGAACGTAGTAATGGAGAGGGAATGTAGTGAGAGGGAATGTAGTGACAGGTAGCATTGCAGTAAGTGATGGAGAGAAAATGTTATAGTGATGGAGTGTGAGGGAATGTTGTGTGATGGAGAGGGAGGGAATGTTGTAGTGATGGAGAGGGAGGGAATGTTGTAGTGATGGAGAGGGAGGGAATGTTGTAGATGATGGAGAGGGAGGGAATGTTGTAGAGCTGGAGTGGGAGTGTAGGAGTAAAGGAGTGTAGGAATGATGGAGTGAGTGAGAGTGTAAAGGTGAAGAAGTATTACAGTGATGGAGTGTTATAGTGATGGAGTGTTATAGTGAGGGAGAAGTGCCAGCTCCTCACCCTAACCTCCATCACTTGTGTATATGATGTTCCTACCATCAACCCCACCCCCTTCAAATTGCAAGCATATTTCCATATAATGCCTCTATTAAACCAAATCAACAAGTCCCAATCAAGCAAATTAATCATCAACACATATTTTTCATGTACTGAGCATCGTCACGTGTAAATAATAAAGAAGAGTAAGGCAAAAATTGATGGAATAAGAGAAGGAGGGTGGTGAAAGGAACAGCTGCTATGCGCAGTACTAAAGATGGTCAGTGACTTTACAGATGTTACGCGAATAAGGAAAATAATACGTCAAGTTTACAGGTAAGGAGTAGCCTCATGGCCAACAATATGTCACCTACACGGGCTCCTGGCCTTCAGGAATGACGGGTAGGTAGCAGAAATGGCGTTTCTAGCCCGTGAGCTGGAAAAAAAGTGGGAATATTGGAGACCGGTGATGTGGGTCGGGAGGGCAACTGCGGTGGTGAGGGCGGATTTCTTGTGTTTTCTTCCATCATTTTGCTGAGTGTCGGGGTTAATATACTTGTTTGATGGCGGGTGAAGTTTGGGAGAGGGTGTCAGGAGGGTGTTGTGTTGGTGGGTGGTGGGGTGGTGGTGATATTGTTGGTGTTTTGTTGGTGTGAGGTGTGTTGGAGGTGAGGGTGAGTGGCACCCTGGCTTACCTGCCCTCCCACACTCCCTCCCTCCCACATACCCCCTCCCTCCCACACCTCCCTCCCCCACTCCCTCCCTCCCACACTCTCCCTCCCACACTCCCTCCCTCCCACACTCCCTCCCACATACCCTCCCTCCCACACTCTCCCTCCTACACTCCCTCCCCACCCTCCCCCCACATACCCTCCCTCCACACTCTCCCTCCCACACTCCCCTCCCTCCCACACCCCCCTCCCCATACCCTCCCCACCTCCCTCCCACATACCCTCCCACACTCCCTCCCACATACCCTCCCCCCTCCCTCCCTCCCACATACCCTCCCTCCACTACCCTCCCTCCCTACCCTCCTCCCACACTCCCTCCCTCCCACTCCCTCCCTCCCACTCCCTCACCTCCCACATACCCTCCCACACCCTCCCCCACATACCCTCCCTCCCACACTCCCCATCCCCCCTCCCCCTCCCACATACCCTCCCTCCCACACTCCCCTCCCACATCCCCCTCCCACATACCCTCCCTCCCACATCCACCACTCCCTCCCACACACCCTCCCTCCCCCTCCACATACCCTCCCTCCCACACTCCCACATACCCTCCCTCCCACACTCCTCACATACCCTCCCTCCCCTACACTCCCACATACCCTCCCTCCCACATCCCTCCTTCCCACACTCCCACCTCCCACACCCCACTACCCTCCCTTCCACACCTCCCACATCACCCTCCACTACCCACAACTCCTTCCCTACCCACACTCATCCCCACTCCCACCTTTCACTACCACATTCACTCCTTCCCACATAACACTCCTTCCCACATACCCATCCCCTTTCCACATCCCACATCCTCCTTCCCACATACCCACACTCCTTCCACTACCCACATACCCTCCTTCACACACTCACTTCCTCCACATACCCACACTCACTCCTTCCCACATACCCACACTCGCTCCTTCCCACATACCCCCATTCACTCCTTTCCACATACCCCACTCAATCCTTCCCACACCCACACTCCTACCCACATACTCCTTCCTACATACCCTCCTTCCTACATACACTCCCACATGCCCAACCTCCCACACTCACTCCTTCATACTAACCCTCATATACTCCATACTCTCCTTCATATAATCATTCATACCCACCCTCATATACTTCATACTCTCCCTCAAATACTTCATACTCTCCCTCAAATACTTCATACTCTCCCTCAAATACTTCATACTCTCCCTCAAATACTTCATACTCTCCCTCAAATACTTCATACTCTCCCTCAAATACATACTCTCCCTCAAATACATACTCTCCCTCAAATACTTCATACTCTCCCTCAAATACTTCATACTCTCCCTCATATACGTCCCATATTCCCTCATATACGTCCCACATTCCCTTATATACATCACACACTCCCTCATATACATCACACACTCCCTCACACATCACACTCTCCCTCATATACTTCACACTCTCCCTCATGTATGTCCCACATTCCCTCATATACATCCCACATTCCCTTATATACATCACACACTCCCTCATATACATCACACACTCTCTCATACATCACACTCTCCCTCATATACATCACTCTCCCTCATATAATTCATACTCTCAATCATATACTTCATACTTTCCCTAATATGCGCCATATTCACCCTGTCAGGGGCCCAAGACTGTTCAACTGCCTCCCAGCATACATAAGGGGGATTACCAATAGACCCCTGGCTGTCTTCAAGAAGACACTGGACAGGCACCTAAAGTCAGTACCTGACCAACCGGGCTGTGGTTCGTATGTCAACTTGCGTGCAGCCAGCAGTAACAGCCTGGTTGATCAGACCCTGATCCACCATGAGGCCTGGTCTCAGACTGGGCCATGGGGGCATTGACCCCTGAAACCCCCTCCAGGTAAACTCCAGGTCATGGACTCCATGCCCACCCTCGTATACTCTATACCAACCCTCATATACTCCTTACTGTCCTTCATAGACTCTTTCATACTCACCCTCATATGTTCCATACTCTCCTTCATACCCACCTCATATAATTCATACCCACCCTCATATAGTTCTTTATACACACCCTCATATAGTCCTTCATACACACCCTCATATAGTCCTTCATACACACCCTCATATAGTCCTTCATACACACCCTCATATAGCCCTTCATACACACCCTCATATAGTCCTTCATACACACCCTCATATAGTCCTTCATACACACCCTCATATAGTCCTTCATACACACCCTCATATAGTCCTTCATACACACCCTCATTAATTCCCCCTCACATTCTCATTCCTATAAATATTTCATCATATACTCCTTTATATTCCCCATTTACTCCCTCATATTCTCCCTTTACTCATATGTTCATTCATATATTTCCTTATGCCTTCGTGCTTACCCATGTTTCCTTCCTTGTGTGTTCTTTAATGCCCTTCGAACACTCCATCATATTTCTCCTTTTGTCTACTTGATGCCCATCCCTACACACACACCCTCATATTCTTCCTTGCCCACGCTCATGTATTTCTTAATTGCTGCCTCCATGTTCTTTTTCATGCCCTCCCTCATATTCTTTCATGTTCTCCCTTATATTCTCCATATTTCGTCCCTCATGCTCATGCACCTTTTATTTATTATTATCTAATAATTTCACTTATAATCATCCTTAAATACTCGTAACGTGCATCATGCTGTACCCCATACCTCATGTCTTGCCTCATATCCTGTCTTATACTCTCATAGTGTCATATACTATCATGATCTGCCTCATACACCATCATGACCTGCCTCATACTCCTTCATGTCTTACTTCATGCCCTGCTTCATATACTCTCATGACTTACTACTAATGTTTTTCTTTATATCCTTCCGTATTTCCTCATGCATTCATTGATATAGTTCTTTATGCCATACCCTCCCCATGGCCTCATATTCCCTGGAGTTTACCTGGAGAGGGTTTCGGGGGGTCAACGCCCCTGCGGCTTGGTCTGAGACCAGGCCTTATGGTGGATCAGGGTCTGATCAACCAGGCTGTTACTACTGGCCGCATGCAAGCTGACGTACGAACCACAGCCCTGACGTATGAACCACAGCCCTAATACCATTCTTCATATATTCTCCTATTCTCTGGCTAATATGTCTCCTGATGCCCTCCTTTATATTTAATACCCTCTTTCATGTTTTCCCAAATACCCTCCTTCATATTTTCCTAAATACCCTCTCTCATACAATCCCTTATGTTGTACCTCATATTCCCTCATGCCCTCCCTAATATATTTCCTAATAGTTGTATTCCCTAATGGGCTCCTTTATATACTGTTCCTTAATGTGCTCCCTTCTTTATTCCCTTGTGCTCTCCCTCCCTCCGTCCTTCCTCCCTCACATGTTCCTTCATGCCCTCGGTGTATATACATCCCCTTGTATTCTTTTTATGCTCTTATATTTTTCAATGGCACTGTTTCATACTATGTATTCCTCATGCCCTCCCTCGTATAGCTCTCCTTTCATGCACTCCTTTATATTCTCATACCTCCCTTATACCTTCATAACCCTCCCATATACTTTCACATGCTCCCATATACTTTCACATGCTCCCATATACTTTCATGCCTTCACTTGTACCTTCATGGCTTCCTTTATACCTTCATTATCTCCTTTATACCTTCATACACTCCCTTATACTTTCACATGCTCCCTTATACTTTCATGCCTTCTCTTATACCTTCATGAGTTCATTATTTCCCTGATAACTTCATGTCCTCCCTTATACCTTCATGTCCCCCTTTACCTTCATATCATCCTTAATAACTTCAAGTTCTTCCTGATAACTTCATGCCCTCCCTTATACTTTCATGTTATCCCTTATACCTTCATGGCTTCTCTGTACCCTCCATTGTATCCTAATACCCACCCTAATACCCTCATTACTCATACCCTCCCTTATAAGTATACATACCTTTTACCCTTATATCCTCATACTCTCCCTTATACCCTCTTACTCTCCTCGTACACTGATTTCCAAAATCATTCTGTCTCTTACTATTATACACTTGATACCATTCCTCGTACAATCCCTCGTGTATGTAATTCCTTGTACCATCCTTAATGTAGTTCTACATACCATCCCTCAGGCAATTCCTCATATCCCTTGTGCACTTTATAGCATTCTTCATATCCCTCATACACTGCCTTATGCAATCCATCATACACTGCCTTTTACAATCCATCATACACTGCCTTATACATTCCTTCATACACTGCCTATACAATCCCTCATATCATTCCTCTTATGCTTCCTCATAGCATCCCTACTACACTTCCTCATAGCATCCCTTATACACTGCCTCCTATGCTTCTTACACTTCCTCATAACATCTCTCTTACACTTTCTCATAGCATCCCTACTATGCATCCTCATACTGTCCCTCATTCACTGCCTCATACCATTCCTCTTACACTTCCCCATAACATCCCTCATACACTATCTCATAGCTACCAAGCACTTTCACTGTTTTTCATCCTAATGGCATATAGGTAAAAACATGCCTAGTATCATCTCTTGCAAACATTGCCAAAATAAGACCTGGAAGATGTGGAAACATTGCATACAGATAACAACAAAGTCTTTTGTTG